TTTTTTTTTGAATTACATTATAACAAAGTAGTTTACCGGTGGAGGTGCATTATTATCCTTTTGTAATTGGGATATCAACTTTAGACTCAGGGAACGTCCAGTACCTTCATAACCATTGATTGTGGAAGCCATAAATATCAAATAAGGTCCAATCATTTTTTTTACAAGTGGTAATGGTATAGCAGCTGCTTCATCAATTAGAAGTAAATCTGCTGCATTTAATAAATGCGTATCATTTGGTGCTATATATTGTATTGTTTGGCGATTGGAACGGGTGATATTTATGCGTATGATTGCCTTTTTATATTCAGGATTAGTTGACCGTATGATCGTGTAGTCAGCATGTTCCTGGTATTCAAGCGCATCAAATCCATTAAATACAAATTCAAATAATGTAATTAAATTTTCTGGATGCGGTGAAGTTACATAAATATTAACATAGCCAAAAGCCACAGCGGCAGCAATAGCCAATCCCAGAGCCGCTGATTTACCACGACCGCGTGCAGCAGTTAATGTCGTCGGTGGTCTAAAATATATAATAAATATATTGTTTTTGTTGGGTTGTAAATTATTTAAACTTACTTTATTTGTTTCTCAGCAAGAGCTTCGATAAATTGTGCGACTGCTTTGGCTTGATCGTAAGTTTTACACAAATTTACTAGTGGCCCTGCAGGTGGGGTATCACGTAAACTATCCTTAAGATGTTTTAAAAGCTCATTTTGTTCTGATTTTCCAATAGTCACAGGCTGTTTAAAAAAAAAATAAATATGTGCATTTTCTTGCATTAAAGTGTTTATACTTACATTAACGGGTTCAACATTTATGGTTCTAGAACTGATTGGCAAAACAGAGAGATCATCATTCACGACTAAACAACGTTTACAATCTGCCAATGAAAGTATTAATCGTTCATTAAATCGACAAGTTATAGTCTGATGAGCGTCGGTGCGAAAACGTTTATGCACGTCCATGCTCATGGTATATAATTGTTTTAATGATTGCATTGTTTGAAGTAGCAGTATGATGAGACCACCGCCTTCAACAGTCTCCACAGTACGAGCAAGTAAATTTGGTGTTAAAGCTTCAAAGTCCTTTGTGAAATAAAATCGTAAATGCGATGATTGTTGAGTATAAATATTTTCTTCAAGTACTTACTTGGAGTATACAAACACCATATGTTCGCCCAAGAACTGAATGTGTATCTGAGTAATAACGACCATGTATTTCTGTAGCCACACGAAACACGTCAAACAAATCAGCATCATTAATGTCTATTTTACCAGCAGCAATCTTTTTGAGCCGTTTCTTTCCGTGACTAAATATAACAGAATGTAAGTCAGTATTTATATAAAACTTATAACAAAGTTATTCAAGTTAGAATGATAATTACTTTGAAATGGCTTCATCTTTGTTTTTATAACACCAAAGTACAGGAGGTCGGGCCTTAACTGTTGACTTCGTTAAAATATCATACAAAATAGGTACCTGCGAATAAAATTCATTTAAATATGTTTTATAATAAAATAAATTATTAGTTTGCAAGTAAAAAAGTGCGAAGTGCTTTTAAGTTATTTACCTGATCTCTAGCTTTGTTGCCTATAATAACAAACATAGTACGATGTCCTAATTTCACCCCATTCTCAATCATTACTCGTATTCGATTATCAATTTTTTTCTTAACCATTTTTATTAAAATTAAAAAATATTTAGCAATCAAATAAACTAGCACGTGCAGCCGCTTCAGTTGTTACAGATTGTTTTGACGTATAAAATGCTTACGTTTGTTTTGAAATCATAAGCAATACGTAGAGCGCTGCCAGATGTATTTAAAAAACCAGTTTACGATCTACGCAAATGATTCTGCAATGAAAGACCGTTGCATATATCAATCAGAGAAGATACTTTTTTATATCAAATTAATACTCAATATTTATAAAAATAAAAATATAATTAGTTAATTCAATTATTCTACAGCTGGTTTATGATTTCGTTCTAATATAAACACAGTCAGTGAAAAACACTTGCACAGAAAATTAACAAAACTCCAAAAAAAAATGTGCGAATATAAAAGTCGAGTACGGCTTTATGTCATTTGGTTAAGGTACGCTGACTCAAATTTGGAAGGGTACAAGTTCGATTCCTGGTATTTGCAGTCTCAAAATATTATTTACGAATAATTAAATACAAGAATTATTTCCAAGACCACTGATGATGGGTATTTGGCAAAACACTAAACAACTGTATGGTCAGCCAAAAACTTAATTAATTAAAATAATATAAAAAGAATTATTGTTGTAGTTCACTACTTTTCGAAAACCTCTTTATTAATACTTAATATTCTATCATGCTTATAGAACCGAATTTAGTTTTAGGTGTTAATGCTTATACATTATTGTATATGCAAAAGAGCATTACAAGCTTTTCCTTTACAAAAATAAAATTCACAGACTTCGAGGGATTCAGTCTCTCAAATTAAATCAAATGGGATAGTCACTGAATCCATAAACAGATAAAAACATTGTTGTGATGTTTTGAATACATCAAAAAAAAAATTTGGTATATTATTTCTATAATTTGAATTGGCAATTTTCTTTTGAAGTAAATACTTGCCTACAAGATTTCCAAGGTGAAAACTATTTTAACTTTTGTCAAATCCATTAAAGTTCAAATCTCCTCCAAGAGATATAAACAAAATTAACATTATTAACTTCACGTTCACAATAATCGTGTTTGATGATCAGACAGGGAGAGCTGTCTGACCTCATAGATCCTTAGCGATATCAGATCAGAACCCGTATAAGCAAGTAATGACATAAACAATACAATTAATTAATGACATAATAAGTAATACTTGTTAAATTTAAATGACATTTATATTAACAGAGTACTCAGTAGCATAAAAGTTGATGGGCGAAAAAAATTACAGAGGGCTCCTATACACTTGGATAAATAAAAAAACCACACTAAGTAGAACACATTAAAATATTCCAAATCTATGTTGTTTTAATTTTTAATATATTTTATGTTAACATTTTTTTTAAACTTTATAAATGAAAAGATAATAATACGTATATACACGCGGAAAAATTATCTTTTTCTTTCATATTTAAATTTAATAACTGGAGGTGAAGTTTTTGTGCCAGGTTTTATTGTTTTAGGCTTAAGTAGACGTGGCATTTCAAGTGCACGCTGTATTTGTAACTTTTGCTGCACAATACTTAATTCCTTCTCACGTTCTATCCGTTTTGCTAGTTCTTGGTAGGACTGTTTACGTAATTTATTGCCAGCTTGTATTTTCTAAATATAATAAAAAACAATGAATATTCTGTGCTAATTAAAATGATTAACAATATTCACCTCTACATTAATTTCTGGAATTGTCAAGGTTTCCAAATCCTTCAAACGTGGCCTGTTTGTTTTACGTTCTAACAAACTGGGATGAGTCTCAAGACGTTCAGCTAATTCATTACCTTCTAAAACAGTTTCTTTACCATCAACAAAGAATGTGTGTTTATTAGGCACCGTGTTTGCAAAATCTATAAAATGAAGTTGTGATTGCAAACGACGTATTTTTTTGGCTTCCATTGTACGCTTCATTGTTATATATTTAATGTCTTGTGTTTCCATGAGTTGAAGCTGTTCCTTGGTATGCTCCTCCTTTTGCTTTTTCTCATGATGCTCACCGCTGCGCAATTTTGAATTTATCATGTGGTGATAAAACTCATCCGGATTTTTATTCAAAGCACGCTTGTGCAATAATTTTAATGCTTTTTCCTTATATTCTGCATCTCTCGCACGAGCTTTGTAATCTTTTTTCTTTTCTAACAATCCCAAATGCTTCCGAGATTCTGGTTGATGACGCTCACGATGTACTTTTTGATTACTTTTCGATGCTTTCTTCCACGAAGACATTGTAATCGAATATTTTGATTGAATTTGTTTTTTTTTTACAATTTAAATCTCGAGCAAACAATCAACATGTGCATGTGAATGTATTAAATGTTATTCTTCACTGCTGCTTGATATGTAGAACAGGGCTGTTCAAAATATAATATATTCACAATACATAATATTATTCACAATAGGGGTATTCCTGTAACGCGAATGGTCTGCGAATTTTGCAGGACTGTCTAAATCAGTAAACAAGTGGCAAGCAAAAAATATTTAAACAAATATATGGTTGATAAATATATTTAAATACAAAAATACCTGCAGATAATTTTATGAATAAGTTTTTTTTTATCTAAATATACTTAAAATGAATGACACCACAAACAGATTATTTGTGAGCATTTTATATTGTATTTGAATAAAAGTAATCATTTAAGTATACATCCAAATAAAAGTAAACATTATCAAAATATAACATATATTCCAATTCTTTTGTCGCAATGTTATAAGTGAACTTTCTAAATTAGCTGACTGTTTGTTTATTTGCTCTGACATCAATGGTAAAAATTAAAACAAAACCGCATGATCATAATGTTTGTCCTTGCTTGTCAATATATTTTAATTTCAATCAAATAAGTACATGCTCATACTTAAATACATTAGTACAATTATTTTAATTTAATTTTTTTTTTACTGCAGTTATTACGTTTTTATGCTTTAAAAAGGAGAAACCAAAAGCATTCAATTCTAGTAGTATATATGTGCAACATTTGTTATTAGGTTCCTTCGGCAGTTTTTATGTGTGCAAGTTGCAAGAACAAAGGAATTAAAGTTTCTTGCCTAAAGTTGTTTAAATGTACGCAAAACAACAACACTACTTGCTCTGTCTAAGCACCTAGTTGTGAAGAAGCCAAACATTTTCGCTACTACAGAAAAAAGTGTTACCAACGCAATAAGCCTACTATTGTGAATTTTTTAGTTGTTAACAAATTTATATATCTTAAGGCATGAGTATAGAATAAAAACTATTTTTAATTTTGTTGTAAATGGAAATTTCAAAATTTTCTACATTTTGCAAATTGCTTTTAGTGCATTATTCATTTTAATGTTAGATTTATTATATATTTTTATACATAGTATAATTTGCTTGCATTATGTGCACATATGCAAGATTTGCTGTTTGCGAAAACAACATTTTACAGATTGCAACAGTGATGCCTATATATCGTTTAGCAAATATTAGATATTAATTTATTTTCACATACCAGAAAGGCTAATAATACTTTTTCTCTGAAGAAAAAATATATGAAAGTAAAACACTGTTTTTGTATTTAATTTTAAATCTAACGCATCTCTATATGTATTATTTTGTGTAATATTAAAATTAACTAAATTTGCTATTAATTTTTCAAAATAATATGTATGATATGCTTTTTTATATCTTTTATAATATTGTATGTCTCTATATAACAACCCTGTTTAAATTCTGTTGTTATTATGTCAAATTTGCAAATAGTGCATTTGTAATTGTTTTTTATGCACATTTTGAAAAACTTCCATTTTTGTTGCGTCGCTGAACTTAACGGAAGTGTGGAAATTTAGTAGGATTTTGGAATTATTTGCAAATTTGGAATCATAAAGCAAATTAATCGTCAATATGTTTAGTGACAATAGCGAAGACGGTTCAGATGTGGCGACTTGCGTGAGGTGCACGAAATTTGCGTCTCATGTTTGCCAGACGTGTGGGGATTTTTATTGTTCAGCCGCTTGTCAAAAATTAGATTGGCGTTCTCATCGTTATATATGCAGGAAAATGCCGTAAGTACAATAAAATTATAAAATAAAAGATAATACATATAATTCTTAAAATGTGTAGTAAGCTGATATTGAGAGAGGCATTTGATAAAGAAATAATGGCGGTAGGACATCCATTGCAAGAAGTACGTGGATGTTTTGAAAATAATTGTCCAGAAGATGAAGGCACTGCTAATAATTCTTTTAAGTTTGAACAAACTAGTCAGAAATTGGAACAAAATCAAAATGTCGGCAAAAGTGGACGCGCCAGTATTGGCATTCAACAAGCTAGTAATGTCAGTTTGTTTGACGGTAGTAGTTCTCTACAACGCGGACAGGAAAGTCCGCAACTACATAACACTGAAGGTCAATATGTCAGGATAGGGAAACAACAATTTAACCATGATATACAGCAAGGTAATGATGCCAAAAAACGATTAAGTCATGGTAACCAACATCAATTCAAACGTGATGGTGAACAATTTGATAATAATGAGCCATACCGGCAAGCTAACGATGTCCAAAAATGTTTAAATCTAGGTGGTCAACAGCAGCATAATTCAGAAAGTGCCTTGAAGAGAAATCAACAGAACGGCAATTCTGGTAATAAAGGCTCACAAAATTATGATGCTTATGAACCACAATACGCTGATCGTAGCAGTGGTAGTTTAGAAGATCGTAACGGTAATCAGCAACAAGGAAAGCAACAACGTGGTCCGCAGCAATGTAACGATGGCCTTTCACGTCGTAGTTATGATAACAATCAACAGCGCAGCTCAGGCGGTCAACAACAACGTAACTACGATGGGCAACAACAGCGAAATAATGATGGGCAACGTCAACGTAATAGTGGTCAACAACGTGTTCAAGATGGTCAGCAACCACATAATAATAACTATCAACAACAGCGCAATAACAATGGCCAGCAACAACAGCGCAATAATGATGGTCAGCAACAACAGCGCAATAACAACTATCAACAACAGCAACAGCAACGTAATTTAAACGACCAGCAACAACGTAATTACAATGGCCAACAACAACGCAATAACGATGGTCAGCAACAACAACGTAACTATAGCGGTCAACAACACCGCAATAACGATGGTCAGCAACAACAACGTAACTATAACGGTCAACAACAGCGCAATAACGGTGGTCAGCAACAACAACAACAACAACGTAATAACAATGGCCAACAACTGCGTAATAACGATGGTCAACAACAACAACAACGTAATTATAATGGCCAGCATGACCAAAATAAAATTGTAATTGATCAGATTTTAAATTCGGATTCTCAAGATAATACCAATGATCGCCGTAGTGCAAATGAAGGCCGTCAATGGCATAATCGCAATTCTCAACATGATGTGCCACAACAGAATCGTCCTGATAACCGAAACATATCCAATTCCAATAGTCCACAACAGAGCAATGAAAACCAAAATCGAAATCCACAAAATTATTCTGAAAATAGACAAAGAAACTACCAGAGCTATCAGACCAATCAAGGGCACAATGAAGCCAGTCAACAAGAGCGTCAATTTAATAACAATGAACGTCAGGATCAAAATATTGATCAAAGCACTAATGCTCCCGTTCTCAGACCAGTAACTTAATACCAAACAAAATTATATATTTTGATTAATTATTAAAGCCTAAATATTTATATTTTACAGCCCTTTGAGATAAAAAAATTAGATGCAAATTGTACTAATTTTCTGGCACGTATAATTGACACTAGTTACATTAAAGAGGGACTTTTTGCCTGTATTCCTGACCAAAATTATGATTCTTTTATTAACATGCAAAGGTTTTTGGCAAAAATGGACAAAGACGCAAAGCCATATAAACCAGTGTAAGTAAATATTGTAATATAATTTATGTTTAAATTTTATTGATAATTAACTTTTAGTTTAAATGAGTACTGCTTAGCTCTGTTTGAAGAAGAGTGGTATCGAGCTAAGGTGATTGGTGCATATGGCAACGAATTCGAAGTTGAATACATTGACTTTACCAATGAACGCTTGGTTAAGATTGAGGATATACGTCGATATCCTTTGGATTTAACTGATGTTAACTCAACAAGTTTGTGTAAGCTGGCAGGTAATTATTGTACATATCCTAATATTATACTGATTAAATGTTAATATTTAAACTTTATAGGTTTACCTGATCAACTTAGTTCAAATCTCGTAGATAAGTTGGAGGATATGGTAGTCGATTTTCAAAAATTGTATGTACAAACAGTTAAAAAGTGTGACAAATTCTATGAAGTCGAATGTCCAGTTTTATTAAAACAACTCTCCGAATTAGGTTTTATTTAAACTGATCAGTTTGTTTATAAATTAATTTTATATAATCCTGAAGCATTACATTGAATGTAATAATTGATTTATATTATTTTGTTAATCAGAATTGACTTACATAATTTAACGTTATTCATTAGTTTTTATGCCTGAACAGCTTGTATCTATACATTGTAAATGATGCAACTTTAAAATAAGTGTAGCACATAAGAAATAAATCTCAAAGATGTTTACTGAAAAATATATGCATAGAATATAAAAATATGCATAAAACTGATCAGTTTCTTTATATATTAATCTTATACATTATATATTTCGACAAAGCATTTCTTTTTCTTTTCTCTTTTTTTCATTAAGTTTAATATTAATTCGATTTATATTCTTTTAGTAATCTGATTTGCCTTATATGATTTTACATAATTCATTACTTTTTTTCTAAACATATATATATATATAGGTATATACAAAAAAACCTTGTAACTAAACATTGTAAATGTGCAAGTTTAAAATAAGTTTAGCACATAAGAAAAAATTATTGAATAAATCAGAAAAGTTTTGACAGGAATATTTTTTGCGTAAAATATTATTTAAATGTGGATTATGCTCAACACAGAATTGAACTATAATAGCAATAGCTAGAAATGCATTTCTGTATACTGCGCACGTTTAAGCTACTATCGCTGGCTACTTTTCCATATACGTGGACTATAATGATAGTCGTCAACTACTGTTGCGAAAGACTAGTTTAAATATGCGTTGGGAATTAGTTTGATTAGAATTTATGTACAACTTTTTATGTGGATTTATTCCATATATTTGTTAAATTAAGTTTTGTCTTACTTTGTATCAATTGAAATAAAAGACAAAGCGCAATATTACAGTTTTTGTTTAGGAATTTGTTCTACACACAAAGGAACGCTTCCTGTTTACACTATTTCAAGTGCATTGAAGCTAACTTACTGTTTATGCTGATTCAGTTATGATCACTGTAGTCAAGCTGCACACAGTATTCTTTGTTTTCTTTATAAACAATGTTGCGCTTATGGTTCCTCCTATAGGAATCAACTTGGCACGACAAATACCACTACACTTATATTAAGAATGCAAGTCTCAACATAATTGGCTTGGTTTGGTTAGCTTTTGCTTGATTCTTTAAATTCAGTTCCAGTCAAGCCAACTAACATCTTGGCCGTGGTTTAAGTTCATAACAAACTTTTATTCATCAACCCAATTTTTATTTTATTCATTCCCTTTAAACATTATTTATATATTTTTGAAAATATACTCTGAATTAATCATCGGAATGTTTCGCAATTTGTTGAAGCAAGCGGACAATTAAGATAACCTATAGTATTAAGAGGTAAAAAAGCTATGTAACAACCACAGGTTATATATTATATAACAATTATTTTGATTATAGTCGGTTGCTGTTGATACTAAGAATTTATATATTATATATATAATAATTGGTTTTATAATATAATAATTGCATATATAATAATTGGTTGAACTTGTTTATTTAATATCGTTTATCGGATCGGATAATCCAGTTTCCAATTAAGCACAAAGCTCTTACGAATTTGTGTCTAAGTTGCGTGCTTAATGATCCCGAGACACCTTGTAGAACAGACAACTGAATTTATCCAATAGAAGATTAAAAAGATGTGAAGCACCTTTTCTTATCGACCTAACAGAGTTGTCTTTTTGCAATGCTAAGGACTTCGTCAATATTATAGACCACGGCCATCCAAAATGCGGCTAATATTTATGCGGTCCGCGACATGTTTTTAATCTACTACAATTACTTAAATTTTCTTTAGATGTACTGGTAAAACCACATTATTTTATTTTTATGGTATACCAAATAAATGAATTTAAATTGATAAATTAATAAAACTAAATTTAACAATATAAACGAATTTATAATGTTATAATGTATTTATAATAACAACTATGAACGTATGTATTTGTTTTTGCGACCCTCCAATCTGTACAGTAATTTGTATTGGCCCGCGATCGTATATAGTCTGGACAGTCCTGTTATAGACTATGCAGGTTGGTTTACTTTCACTTGAATTAGGGAGTAGGGTCTTTCAGCTGAGTTGGAGTTAGTCTGTACACTGACCAATGCGGTTTTTTTAGGGGTCCTTCTGTATTCTACATCCATTAATCTGAAATTCTGGGTGTTTTGAGAATATCGAATGATTTCGAATAGTTATTGATTTTCAAGAAATTTGTGAATAAGGTAAATGCTTGAAAATTTAATAATAGACTACATTGTAGATTAATTTGCTACATCAGTATGACGTACAAGCTTTTGTTTCTGTTATACGAATTAATTTGTGAATAGAAAACGAATTAATATATTTCGAATAATTGAATGTTTGCAACTGAACAAGAATAGTTATAAATGTGTGATAGTTTTGAAGCTAATGATATGAATACAAATGAAAAATTAACAGATTGTAAGTAAATGTAGTTTCTTGTTATGGTCATCCTTGGCATCTCAGCATAGTACATACTATGCACAATAGATGCTTCTTAAAGTTCGGTATGCTGAGAAATATATGGAAATCGAGTTAAATATCTCGTAAAACAAAACTCCACATCTTCGAATCAAATATAAAATCTGTTCTCTTCTATGGCTGTGAAACATGAAAAGCTTCCAAACGTATTGAGTCAAAAATACAGATCTTCATAAACAAGTGGTTGCGCAGAATAATTGCTATAAGATGGCCTGAAAGTATAAGAAATAAAGGTTTGTGGAGCCTTACACAGCAACAAACCGTTTCAGTTCAGATTGGTCGACAGAAATGGCAATGGATTGGCCACACACTTCGAAGACCTGCAAACCATATTGCAAAAACAGCACTAAGATAGAACCGCAAGGCTCTAGAAGACCTGGCGCACTAGCACAAACATGGCGTAGAACTATACACAGAGAACTTAATAATGTAAATTATAACTGGAATGATATATGCAGCGAAGCATCCAATGGAGCTTGGTTTAGATCTATGGCAGAGGCCCTATGCTCCACGAGGAGAAGACGACAACAGTAAGTAAGTAAAGTTACTTCTAAAGGAGTGATGCTTCTTCGTATGGTTACGAAATTTGTATGCATGTATGGTATGTATGTGTTTGAATACAACACTCTATCCAATACTTGGGTGTTTTGTTGCTGTTGTTTGGTATTACCTAAACAGAATTTATTTTTATACTCTAGCGTAATTTTATGATATCAAATTTCAAGTATGGCTGAAATGATATTTATAATGGCTTGTCAAATACAGGCGTGTGTTCATGCCATTTTGTCAGTGGAATGAATGAAGACATCAGTACAATTTAAAATTTTACCTCCAAACAGACTATGCTCTTCTTATCGTCAACATTGGAAAAGTAAATCATTTTATCATATTTTGCCAACTTTATATTTTTTTTAAAAATTCGCTAAGATTGGAATGGATGGTCTCCAGATTGTAGCTGCCATTCCTAATCTAAACCCTACCACGCAAGTATCAGAGCTACAAACGGAAATCTCTTGCGCTGTGGCACGTGTCGCGACACGTGACTAACACTAACACGCGCTGTTATTTTGTCCATAGACATCGGAATGATAAGCCAAAAATTATTCAAAGTTTTGTTTATTATAATTTTCATGTAACTTTTGCTTTGATATGACACTTAAATGGGGAAATGTCAGACAAGGAAGTGGGCGTGTATTTCCGCCTCTAACCTTTGTTGCTAATGACATTAATGTCTTGATTTTTTTTTCTTGTTTGCTTATTGAGACCTGAACTGAGCTGAGCTGAGCTGAGCTGAGCTTGAAAATTGTTAAACATTTTTTTGTACACCCAGGTAATATTCGAATGTTAATTAAGCTGGTTACATAGTAATTTACTGATTATGATTATAACTATAAAATATTGTATTACTCGCAGTTCTGTCACTCACTGTACTGTAATCATTGCATCCATTGCAACCGAAATCTCATTATCCAGTGTAATTGCAACTGAATCCTTAAAGAGATTAAATTAACAAAACTTTTTTTTGCTAATTTTATTTTTGAAATGTGATTTCACCTCGGTATGTTAACGAAATTAGTTCAAATTTGTTTATTCTCATTCATTTGTTTGGTATGAACCCTAAATGTTGGGATATCACTTTTCGATGTAAACCACCAAGAGCAATATTGCATAAAAAACCAGACAGGATTCGTGTATAAAGCAAAAAAAAAAATTTATGGAAATTACCAAAAGTGATAAAAGCATATGACACCATTTCCAATCTCTGTTCTCGTACTTGTTATGCATAAAATAAATTGTTGTGTTGACATTTCCACCAGAAACATCAAAATTCACAGCAGCAACTGCAACAGCAACAGCAACAGCAATAACAATACTCGCTCGTAACAGCAACAATAATAATTTACAATAACAATCCCAAACCATAGCAACCCTAATCGGAGTTGTCATATGCGCCAGAACAAAAGAACAATAGCAATCACAAGTCGACCAATTAAATAAAAGTATTGTTCTTAACGACTCTCTATGTGCGCTACATTAATGGCGTATGTATCAATTTTTTTACATATGAAGGTCCAGAATTTTACGTGTATACCTGCCGTGAAGGCTTAACACCATGGTGTACTTCACACATACATACGTATATTGCGTCGATCAACGCCCCATTGGAATTCAAAAAGAGTATACCTATATGCAGATTATGAACATCAAATTTATTAATTAAATTAATTGGTTTTCTCTTTTTGTGGGTTGTATGGTGTATTTACAAGTGTATTTTAATAATAGTATTTATTTTGACAAAGACATGAATAAAATATAACTAATTTTGTATTAATTGACATCTACACTCTACGGGATGAAGAATTCTTTATTCTAAATATATAAGATTTTATAGATAGAACATAAAAACAGAGCTTTATCTGTTCGCTATCTCATTTATACTTTTGGCAATTTTGTAGTAATTAATAATCACTACATTCAGAAATTCAGTCTTTCTGATTATGTTTGGAATATACTAAATAGCTATATCACACCACTTAACAAAACTTTGGTCTGACATATTTCATCTGGAAAATCAAATGGTTTAACAAGAATAACAAAGGTTAGTAACTCGCCTCTCCCGGCAAAATTTTTGAGGGCATCACAATGGGCAATATATGCCGCTGAGTGGAAGTGGTGACAACTCTCAAAACCTGACCTATCCTTGGTCTGACAGATTGATGACACTGGTAACAGTAG